CCCCCTCAAGCCTGAGGAGACTCAATACTATGGTGCACACTTGGACTAGGTCACTGTGTGGTAGCAAGTAGGGGCTTGGGGACTTCAAGAGCTGGCTATGAGCTGTGCTGATCCACTCACGTGGTGTATTTGGGCTCAGTGCACCTGGTGACTGCCATCTGTTTTGTTTAACTACATAGTAAGAATTGGGTTAAACTGAAGCAAACCAAATCCTAATGTGCATTGTGGGTTCTGCCTTTGGTTTGCTTATTTCTTTGCAGTTAGAAGCAAAGTTGAATGAAGCGATTATGTTTAAACATACAGATTTCTGAAGTACATTTTGGGAGATTTGCAGAAATCTTTTAAGTGTGAATGTAATGTTGTCCACAAAATTCAGGCATGGCTCTGATTTTAAATTTTCACAAAAGATGGTGGTTAGGTTGTTCATTTTGGTCTGGATCTCATTCAAGTTGAGCATGATTCAAGCTCCTTTTAACGGATTACTCCTTTCTCCTGAATTTCAACAGCAGGCTTTAGAACATCTATCCTGAACCAAACTCAACATGAAACACAGCTTAAGGGTGACAAATGTTCTCTAGTAGCAGAGGTGTGGCCATCAAATGCAGTTGTACTTGCACAACATTGGCACTGAAGATCTGACCTCATAACCAATGTTTTCACAGAATACACTCTCTTCTGACTTCATGTTGAGTGAGGTCTTCGGTTTCTCCAGAAACTGTGAGACTCTATGTTGTATATATACACCAGAGCTGCCTGGAAAGCCTTTGTAATCTAAAAAATGATTGTAATGTTTCCTTCCTTTTATTCTTTCCTTCTTTTTTAAAACGCGATCTTTGAAATTCTTTTTTTCAAACTGAAAAAGCTCTTAAATCTGCAAAACCAGAGCTCTTTATTCCCAACGACTTAATATAATTATACACTAAGCTGTTTTGCACTCTTTTATTTTATTTATTTTTATGTATATTGCTCAGAAACCATCAAGTGAGCAGAAGCATAAAGGCTGACATTTACCTACAACCAAATATACCAGGAGTACACAACATTGCAAAACTCCTTTTGGGGTGCACGGAGGAAGCACGGCCAGGAGCATGCCATCCCCAACCCCATCCATTCCTCAGCTCCCTACTTGAAATGGCTGCTGGCTGATGTGCCCATTCGTGGGGTTTTGTTGGGAGTTTTTGTCTTGTGTGCTAAAAGCTGGACACAGGGTCCTGACCTCCATGGGCCATGGAAGACTCATGGCAGGGGAACAGCTCAGCCCATCAGCACAGAAGCAAACACCTCCATTAGCACATTAACTGCCCTATGAGTCAGGTAGTCCAGCAGCAGCCTCTTCCCCTAATTGTCCTCTGTAATTAATTAAAGATGAACTGGCAAGTAAACCCCACACTCCCAAGTTTTGAATGCATTCAGCATCCAGAGCTGGCAACTCCTCTCCACCAGCTCTCTAATAAATACCATCCACAGAAGTTTTGTGTGTAATTTCTGTGTAGGCTCAGCTCGGGCCGTGCTTGCAATACAGTTTCCAGCTGTTCAGCTCCAGTTTGTGCAATGAGCAAAAACCATTTATGAAGCTTCAGCAGCAGTTTATAAATAGTCACATGATAAACAGTGGGTTGTGCCGGGTACAAGAAAATTCAGCAGAGACATCACCACAGATAATATTATTGCTTATTAGAAGCTAAAAGGGGCCTCAGAATGTTTCCCAGAGTTGCAACTTTCTGCAGATCAGTACCCTCCTGTGCAGTCGGGGCCGCAGCCGGGCTTCCCAGTGCCTGGGGTGGCACCAGGGCTGGTGTGGGATGTGGAGAAAGGAAAAATACCCATATCTCATGCCCATGGCGTGTAAGTAACTATGGCAACATGAGGAGCCCCAGTGCACCTACCAAGCACCCTGCACCCCTGCCACTCAGTCACACCCTGGACCCAGAGGTTCACTCCATCCTGGTTCACCTGAAGAGCAAGCAGCCAGTCCCATGCTGAGCAAATCCTGAGGGTCTTTCCTCCCCAGCACCAACAGTTTAAAGGATACTGCATTTAGATCAAAAAATCTCTTCTTTTTTTGCACAGGCCAGCAAACAGCCATCATCTGCGAACAATGAGAGCTGCCAGGACGGGGGAAGGGAGCCAGCCAAACTGTGAGCACAGTTTTTCCAGAGCCGATGGAAAAAAAGGGAAACACTCCTCAGGAAAATTTTGCCCTGAAAAACACAAACTTCATTAGCTGTAAATGAATGCTCAGTCTATTGAGATGTGTTCTGTGCCCAGAAAGCAGCATAGCAGGGACAGGTGACCTATTTTCCCTGGAGAGGAGGGAGAGGTTCTCTATCGATCTCACCTTTCCTTTATCAGTTTATATATTAGCTTCTATGGCCTGTGGAGGAAGCAGCCAGTAATGGAGTGAATCATTCACAACAAATAAATCATATGACTAATTTAGCTTGTTTTTCTTCTCATGGCTCTTCCATTTCCCTAAAGTTATTAATTAGTTTTATATATTTTGCAATTTGAGGGTGTTGTTTTCTTTTTCCTCTACATTTTTAACTCCTACAAGTTAGCAAAAGTCTATTAGCTCACTTATGACTGGATAGATGAGTTCCATGAGGCTGTTCCTAGCCCCAGACTGGATGAACTCAGCATGGCTGTTGCAGATATTTGCATCAATAAGCAGAGAGAAAACTTGAATTCTGTAAACTGATAAAGCCATTTAAAGACTCTACTAAAGGCAGCAGAGTCCGAAGTTCAGTTTCTACAGATGCACATGTCCTTCAGGGCAGAGTCTTCCAATATCTCTGTAACACAAACACCTACAGTATCAGCACAATAGAAAGAAAAACGTAACATTGCTAAGATTAGTGTAAGCATTTTTTGCTGCACATGGATTTTAAAGCCAGAAGTAACCATTAAATCATGTGGTCCCAACCTCCAACATGAGTCAGGCCATAAAATTTCATCCCGTATTGAGCCTAATGACTTGTATTTACACAAAGCATACCTAAATCAATCTATATCATATTCTGGCTAGCACCCATCTCAACAAGTAGTTGGAGTGCTCCCTATATGTGGGGTGGTGTCACCTAGGGGATTATTCAGCTTTATCTCTTGCTAAGATGATGGTAAAACCAATAGAGAAAGCTGCAGTACTGGATTCAGATGAGGTCTGTAAGATTCGCACTCCATGGTCAGCATCAGAACGGATTGGGGAAGCCTGGTGTGTGCTCCAGCAGCTGACTGCTGGCATGGATGGAGAGTGTAGAAGGAGAGGAAGCCACAGCACTGAGAACTGCAGTGGGACTGGTGAGGTCTTCTCTCTCAGGAGGTGCCTGTTCCCCCAGCAGAGCAAATCAGCAGAGCAAAACACTGATAGCTTCAGGCCTCAGCACCTGCCCATATTTCTTTCTACTTGTATGTCCATGTTTATGTTTCTTTTGCTTGCTCCACTTGAGAGCACTGCACCCTTTCATGAAGATCTGATGTACACAAAAGAACAAGCCTGAAAACAAACAGAGGGCAAATGCCACCCAAACTAAAGCACCACCTGCAGCACAAAAATACCAGGCAACTCCCACGCACCTCTTCCCCCACCCACCACATCAATGGGGAGGCTCATTGGCAGAGCACAGTGCTCTGTCTGTTAGCAAGCCCCAACACCCAGGCATCAGGCAGAGAAAAGTCCCGACTCCATAGAAAACAGGGAAAAGCTCCCATCCTTGCACTGCAGGAGCTCCAGCTCAAGTGCTTCCCGAGCAGTTGCTGCAAGGAGAACTAAGAAAAGGAACAGTGTCCTGCCATGCCAGATCTCAAGCTAAGCAATATGGATGAGTGAAATGATGCAAGCTAATTGCAAACTGATGCAAGATGCAACTGAGTGGTGCGATGCTGCTCTGCACGAAGAGCTGCCCGAGGTGCTCACACCCAGCTCCTGCACAGCCACTGCTCGCTGAGCAAGGGCAGCCCCTCCTAAAAGCTGTTTCCTTTTCAGTCTGGGCTCAACATGTAATCACTGTGAGAAATGGCTGCAAGAGTCAAACTGATCAGAAGCTGGGCTCCTCCTGCCAAGTTCTGGGAAACTGGCCCATGGCCAGGTAATACTCAAAAGTAGGCACGATCCTTCCTCCTCTCTCATCAAACACCAACAAAGTGTCCAGGGTACTCACCTGACAAAGTGGTGTTACAGCAAGGTCTTGCAGTCTTCTGGGAAGTCTCCTTCTTCCAAACCCTTATCCCAGTCTGCAAACCAAGCTTACAAGACAATAGCTGACATTTCCTATATGAGTGTGAATCAGGGCTCAAAGATGAAACTTAGGTGGAAGCAAAAGAGAATGTAACTCAAAATAAAGGCAGAGGAGGAGACTAAAAGCCACTCTACTTTACACTACTAATTGCAGCAGTATCTCAGATGAGCTGATGGAAACCACATGTAGCTGTGTCACCTACAGTGTGACCAGATGCAGAACAGATTTACCTCTGTGCACCTGAGGGTGCAAATGAGGATGTTTTGGGACAATAGCATACTATTTCTCCTGGGCTGAAATAAGAGGGCTTTTCCTCCTATTTTACTCTAGATTGAAGGAAAAAAGAGATTACTTATTCCAGAAGGGATCATAAATATATGTGTGTGTATGTATATATATACACACACATATACAAAAATATAGAGATATATACAGAGTGAATCCCAAATAACTTTTCATCTTTTTGGTTAGACCTTTTCTTAATTTCCAGCTTGTCTTGTGTAGACAAGCCCTAGTGACAAGCCCTTGTGTAGACAAGCCCTAGTGGTAGACCCAACAAATTCCAGAGGTCAAACCCCACTCCTGACTCAGTCTTTTCTTGAATCATTTGACCAAAAAGTACACTTGGTTACTCCTTTGTTCCTCCAGTTTCAATCACTTGCAATGTGCTACTTAACCATCCTTTATCTTTTCCTGTTTAAATACTGTTAAGGGTTTTTTTCCTAACAAATTAAATCATGTGTTTATGTGTTTTCCCCATTCCAGCTTAACTTTTTGCTCTGTTGCTTCTGGGAAACATCCTGTTACGGGAGGATAAATGACAAACGCAGTGTGCAGGACCAGATGTGTGCCTTCAACACCAACGGGATGGATGAGCCATGAACAAGCCACCACTGCAGCACAGCAGCAAGCCACAGGAATACCCTAGCTACATGCTTTTATTCCTCAGTAAGTACTAGGTTACCGAAAGCGGCTCAGCCTCCAGAGAAAGGGAAGATTTAGGATGAGCACAGGGCTTACAAATTGGTTCTCTGTTTTATCAGAACACTGTCAGGAAGAAAAAGGTAGGAGAATATGCGAGATTCTTAATTAAAATATGTTTTTTAAGAGTTTTTCATTTTTACTTTAATTTTTTTATTTTGGAGTAAGCAGCTGAAAATTACTGCACAACTGTTTAACCATGTCTAATTTGGTAGTACATTAGACAGACTTTCAGCCTAATACTCTTGAGTCTATTGTAAATACTCGAACATTCCAGTCAACCAGACTGATAAAAACAATTTAACGGGGCTATTGGCAAGAGTGATCTCAGATTTGCTAAAAATCATGTCTATGTTCACGCATGCAAAGCAGCACATTTTCACTTACCAGACTGACTGATTGACTGGTGAAAAAATCTTAATGCAAAATAAAGCTACTGATACATACTGAGATTCTGAGACTGTTCTTAGCTAGGTCTTGTGGGTACAAAGAGCATCTAAAAAATCTGAAGATACTTTTAAGTGCTCTCAGAAGTTTTTCTTATGACATAATTGAAAAAAGGGTCAGTAATGGTTACAAGATGAATGCTTCAAAACATCTTTGAAGATGCTTTGAAGATAAAAATAAGCTCACATTTTAGGGTGCTTTATGGTGAAAATAGAGTTCTGTGTTATTTGGAGTATGCTAGAGTTTAGTGAAAGCTGAAGAAATATTAAGATTGCAGTAGGTTATTAAAAAGTTATATTGAAATGTGTAAAGTCCAGATAGTCACAAGATCTGAGACATGTGGGTATATCCCTTTGAATATCCTTTTGGCAATAAAGAGAGAACTCTTGTCCTGCGTTATATAGATGGAAGTGGTGTTTCTGGTAATGCTTTCATTAGTTTAGGTGACATGACATTATTAGAGCAAAAGGTCACGAATTAGTGATCTTCATGCAAAGAATACAAAATTTCATAAAATAACTGCTCAAACACTAATTCACTAATTTCTTCCAAGAGCAAGCTGCCTATACATTCAGTTAAAACGTAAATCATGGAGTTATTTACAGTACCCCATTCTTGCAAAAACTCCTCAATATCAACACAGCTCTGGCATTAACTTTCTTCATAAAATTAGGGCCATGGAATGCACTGCTCATTATCCCTGGAAACCATTCCTACTACGCCTAAGTAGGTGTATTTTGAGAAAATCTACCTGATACTGACCTGGACACTGTTGTCTGTACTGGATTTCTAACTTCAGCACTAGTGTGAAAACCTTATGAAATGGCCAAAGTTACACACCAAAAGAAGAAAATTAAATTATCCAGTTTACCACTAACATAAATTCAGGATGTCCTGGCTATTCAGTATTCTGTACTAAACAGATATCTATCTCAAAGCTGGCTGTAATATGATATGTCAGAGATTTGCTTTTTGAGTTCAGAGAGAGGACAGATTTCATTGCAAATGTCCAGAGATTCAATTTATGGTTTTGCAACCTGACTAACTTGGGTAAATTAGGGGATTGAAATATAATGTACTTTGGTGGCTATAAACTGTCTGGAAGCAAACTCCAAGTGTGGTCAATCATGCTATGAAATCCTCCTGGTGGCCAAAAGTCATCTGTGGTTTGGGTCACCTCCACACTCGCTAGCAGGGATTTTACTACCCGTTCTTCAGTTTATTTGCATCCATAAATTTCACCATGATGGTGAATGTTAGTGTTAGTTTGTTGTTCAATACCTGGTCTTGTATGTGGGGCAAAGATGAAGCTGTGTCTGTGAAATGGTCTAGTTTTTGCATTTCTTTCAGTCTCTTTATCTCAAACTGATGTTGTTCAAACCCTAGTATGCATTTTTCTTATCAATATAAATGCTGCTGCTAAATAGTAGACAACAAAGATGCATTACACCCTTAGTATTTTTCAGACATGATACTGTGAGAGATGTATGCATTACAGAAATTATTAGATGTACCTGATGTCCTCTTGCATATCTTGCCCTGTGCTTGTCTTTATTTCTGTGTGTCCCAGTGAAGGTTTTCAACTAGTGGGACTCAAGTCTCACACATTTTTTTGCCTCTCCAAATTAGGCAGTCAGTACCAGATGGACTCCCATGGGACCTTCTTAGGGCTGGCACATTTGTTCCTCTCAGGTCAGCAAACATTCCTGGAGATCTCCTGCACCTACATCTCCTACCTCTGCCAGGGGCCAAGGCAGACTGGACGTGCTTAAGGGAGTTCATGCTTCAGCTGATTCTCCTGCATTGCCATGAACTACCAGACATAAACCACATGCAGCAGCAGCCCAAGAAGCAGCCCTCAAATAACCTAATGTTACTCAAATAACCCTAACTACAGCGCAGCCACTTCAGTCACTACCTCTCTATTGAGATTAATGTGCCTGAGGTATTCTTAAGGAGAGCTCTTTCTACTGCTGAAACTTCTGCTTATTTTGAATCTTTTTTATCCCAGCATGACTTCTTGGTAGCTTTGTATTTGCGATAGCTGCTGTTTTCGCAAAGGTGAAGATGATATTCCCAGCTGACTCTAACCAAAATAATTCAACAGCAGATATGAAGCATTCATCTGACTTTTACTTTGCCTCTGGACATAGAGCTTTATGGTGGTTTAACAGCAACCCCAGAGATCCCACCCTAGGTTTCATCTCCTTCCTTTTGCAAGCCACATCTTGAGGCAAGTGAATAGGCTTAGGGACTGACTGCGTGCCTCCTCCATTGTGGCCCATTAATACAGATCAGGACTATTTCTTCTTTGATCTGCTTTGTCTTCCAGCAACCAGATGTAGGCTCCAAAACAGCAAAAAAATGAGCAATACCACATTTATTCATTTTGCCATGAAGCATTGTCTTTGGGCGAACCTTTGATTTGTCTATGAGTTCTGAGTCTGGCAAAAGTTTCAGTCCTGGGAATAGGCCTTCTCTGTTTTCACTTCACTCTTCAGCATTTATGATTATGTTTTTGCTGTCTGCAAATTTTGAAGTCCCAAAGTCTTTTTTTCCAGTTGACCTGGCTATTTTCTTTCACTTTCTCTGCTAATTGTTTTATGTAATGTTATGACCTATTCTAGTATCCACTTAGATTTCTCCCAAGAAATTGTCTTAGTCAATGAAATTAGTGACCTTAATTAGGCCTTCTAGTTTGGAAGGCATTAGTGACATTGGAACAGGGTGTTTCTGTCTGATTGCATTAGTTAGATCAATTTAGAAAGCAAAAGCAATGTGAAACCAAACTGTGCTGGTGGGAGGGAAGCAAGGAATGGGGGATCATCTCTATTTGCCTGATAACATTTCCACTGCCGGGCATGCTGACACACTCTGCTGCACGTATCATGCACCAGCAGTGGCTCCACTCTGTAAAGAAACAGCTGTGATGACTTTAGAGATGCCTAATTGATAAAGCACTTTGGGGGATCTATCATCCCATGGAAAGACTCCAGTAAAAGCTCTTCCTTCAACTTGTTAGCTTCAAATGAACCAGTTGCTTTGTTCTTCCTTTCCACTGGCATTGCAAAATCAGATATACTGTTCTTGGGCTGTCACCATCCCTGGTGCATTATTTTGGATTTCTCAATAGTACTATAATGCTTTTTGGTGTTTCTGATGCTGCTGTAATTTTGCTAGAGACACAGGTTTCTCCCTCCATCTTATCACGTGCACACCCTCTCTTTCTGTATTTGTATTGTGTGTCTATGTCTTTTCATGCCAAAGAAAGCCAGCACACTCAATGCAGTAATGCCACGGACTTGAGACAGTCTCTTTAAATATGCTTCAGTAATGTGCTCCTCTTTAAACACTGATTTTAGCCAAGCTTTTTCCTAATTTTAATAAACATGAACTACTTAGTTCTGAAACAGCTTCCTGATTTGTGAACTGTTGTCAGTGACATCAAATTTGTCCAAACAACCGGTTACAAATTATTCCATCCTCCCTGCTCACTATATGCTCTTTTAGCCAGAGATCTCTCCTGAACAATCTTTTGGTGGTTTCAGTCTGTATGGTACAGCACACATCACCATGATGAACTGCTCACAGCACAGCCATCACCCGGGCTCATGCCCCAGCTGGCCTTGTGTGGTAAGTGATGGAGCTACACAGGCATCCTCACCGCTGGCCCCAAGGGATGGTTCACCAGGAGGAGACAGGGCCCCTCTTTGCCACATCATCAATGTGTACAACATAGGTGAGCTTCTTCAAGCAGCCTAAGGATGGGCTAAGAGAGAACTGAGCTTGGGAGTCTGTGCCTTCCCACCTGCATCTTTCCTACCTACCCATCTCCTCACTCGCACCACTCGTGGGTGGACAAACCCAGCAGCAGCACAGCTGGTGGTCACTTCCCAGTCACTCACAGTGGTAGGCACAACAGTATATGTCTGGAGCATGGTGCCCAAACTGTTCAGAGGATCTGGGAAGCAGAAGTCAAGGTATCCTAAACCTTTGTATTGCTTGCCAAATGCAGCAAGCTGGCACAATCTGGGTGCTGTGGTTGCATTCATGTAAATCAGGCTAAAAGGATATTTTCACATCACTCTGTACACAGGGAAGTAAGAAAAGAAATTCAGGCCTTTTTTTTTTTTTCTTTTTACTGTAAATATACCTAGAAAATAAAAGCCAGGCATCATATATTTGAAGAGGGCAGAAGGACCACACTACACGTTACTGCACCAGGGACGCTCACAAGTGCTTTTAAATTCTTAAACAACCTGGCATGGTTTATTTTGAGAATTGAAAGCTCTGCTATCCAGAGATCACTCTTTTCCCTTCTCTAAGAGGATTTCTAAAAAAAAAAAAACCTTGCCAAAAGCAGCTGTCGGCTAATGTAACACACAGCATCAGTGTAAGAATGGATCCTTGAGTCCTGGCAAAACCACAGTCCTTGTCAGGGACCTTGAATGAAACTGTCCCAGGGAATCTGCAGAGCAAGGCTGCATATTTAGGAAGCTCAAAAGAGAGTCAAAACAAAA